ACACACACACACACACACACACACACACACACACACACACACACACACACACAAGGCACGCACGCACGCATATATCGTTTGGCCAACATTTTTGCTAACATGTATGTCAGAAACACATCGTAATTGGGGGGATCGGAATTAGAACCACGAAGCAAGAGCAGCGAGATAAATAAAATACACAGGAAACACTAAAACTTGCTCTCTCTCTCTCTCTCTCTCTCTCTCTCTCTCTCTCTCGCTCTTTCTCTATGCACAGGATACACGCGACTGATAGAGAGAGAGACTCTCTGCCCTGTTTTAACCAACGGTCTGGTTTTGTACCAACAACTGTCAGAAACATGGCAAGTGTTCATGACATCGTCTCTAACCTAGAGTCTAAACTCTCACGACTTTTGAACTCGAAGCACCGCGAGAAATTAAATACGTTTTAGACTCTACGATAGTTCTCAAGTATGTTCTCAAGGTGCGTGTGACAAATTAATTTACTCCCGATCGAACGCCTTTTCGCGCGAAACAAATCAACTGAAGCTGTCGCCTTTCAGTCGTCAATTGGCCTTTTTCGTTGCCACGCGACTTTTTTTTCCGTGATCGCTGTCCACTATTCTAATGTCGGTGACGTCAGAGCTCCGCGCGTGCGCCGTCACGGTTTCCGGAACGCTAGAACAATCGCGACGAATCTAAACGATGAATAGCCAGAATGAACGCCATCTGGTGGACGTTCCGAGAAGCTACAAAAGTCTGGAATTCATTCGCATCATGAGTTGACTGATCACTGGCTGCAAGCCATTCCAGTAACTGTTATAGTCCAGTTGCACTTCAGAAATATACGAGTAAACACGGATACACAGACGTTAGTTTCCTTTCGATTAAGATTTCAATGATTGCTTACATCGACAAGGGTTCAACGAAGCCATAGTTTAAATTAAGACAACCACGCAACGATCAGGGCAGAGTAGCTTAAGGATGTACAGTATGACATTAATCTACATGTATGTATGTATGTATGTATGCATATATATATATATATTTATATGCGTGTGTGTATATATGACCAGCTGTTAACATACACACACTAGCGGTATATAACCTGAATGGTGTAACATTACCTCGTGAGAAGGGTTGCAGATTTGTGCACACACACACACGCACGCACGCACACACACACAAACGCACGCACGCACGCACGCATGTATCGTGCCTGCTCGCGCTGTGAAAGATGAGCAGAGATATCGCCTCTAAAATCCATAGCATGCTTGTTCACACACGCACACACGAACACGCAAGCACGCACGCGTGCACGCAGACATTTATAACAAACGAGATATGAGAGCCGAGGGAAATTAAACAAACGCTGCAGCAGCAGCACACCGACGATCAACACAACAACATCTGCTACTACTGCTGCTGCTGTTGTTGTTGTTACTGCTGCTGCTGCTGCTGGGGTGACGGACGTTGCCGCCTCCCCACAATTAATTAACACAATTATTATTCTCCGCATCCACGGCACCGTCGCCATGGTAACCAGCGTCACAGCTGTGAGGAATGAGTCGTGACACATCTTCTAGTGTCGCCGTCGTCATCTTTAGACAAATCGCACGAGATAGAGAGATGGAGAGAGATAGAGAGTGCGAGAGAGCGCGAGAGAGAGAGAGAGAGAGAGAGAGAGAGAAAGAGAGAGAGAAAGAGAGAGAGGGAGAGAAAGAGAGAGAGAGAGAGAGAGATAGAGAGAAGAGAGAGAGAGAGAGAGAGAGATAAGAGAGAGTGAGAGATGAAGAGAGAGAGAGAGAGAGAGAGAGAGAAAGAGAGAGAGAAAGAGAGAGATGGAGAGAGAAGTGAGAAAATGTGACAACTTGCATGACGAACCTTCTGTGTATTTGCTCTGCACCGCGAACAGAGACGAGCTGGCACGCAGTGCAAGTTGAAGACACGTGGGTTTGCTCGTCATCGAAACGTGACCAATTCAATAGAAGACTGTGAGTGGAAAAATGCTAACACGATAACCGTGAGTGTTTGTGTATGTAAGTGACGAAAGCCAAACTCGGCTAAAGAGAAAAATTCCGTCAATTGCCTTGTCGGGTACGTCGGCACTGTCACGCTCCTGGCGGTCCTCTTTGGTACTACCTTGGTCCCACATACCGAACAGCCTGTAAATCTGACCTGTGATGAAATACTGCAACAGAAACCCCGCGAATATATTTACACAGGCTGGGCGCGCGGTCGCTCGTACCTAAATAGCGAAGCCAAAGTATTATTAATTAGACAGACAGTGGCTAGAAGAAGCAGGGAGGCAGCAGGAAGGGGAGACAGTAGAAAGAGAGGGAGGCAGTAGAAGGAGGGGGAGACAGTAGAAGGAGGGGGAGACAGTA